GTGTCAGGCATTATTAACATCCAGAAATAGTTTTATGCTAGTTAAAGAAAAATAGTTTAGAGTGCCAGAGGTGTTCTCAGATGCACAGACACAAGGAGAATGACCAGAGATGTGTCACTGAATGACATTTCCCACTTTGCTGTCAGCCAGATGAGCTCTAAGTGCCCTCCCCAGCTCTCAGGAATAACAGTGCAGGCACATTGCAACACCAGAACTGCAGCAGCCCTGACAGGAGCGTGAATGGAGATGACACTGCCCTGCACAGGGAGTGAAAAGGTGCTGAGCTGCAAACACAGCTGCTCTTATTGTGGGTATGACTGTAATTTCAGGAGTGATCTTGTCACAGGAATTCATTCATTTTTAAAAGGATCAAAAGCCCACTCTATATCAGTAGAAGAATGATCAATTTGTGGCAAGACCAGAAGTTAAAACCATTCCACCTTTTCTATTATGCCTCAAAACCATTATCATCACTCTTCTGAAACAATTAATAACACTGAGTGATGGGGTTTTGATAAACACTAACTGCATTTATTACTGAACATAAAAAGGATAATCAGTACAGAAATTATACTTTGACTACTGGGTTACTTGATCATCAACCTTTGTAACATATGAACAACAAATAAAACTTGGGCAGCAGAGGGTTGGGAGTTACTCAGATTAAACACATTACTCACCAGAACAACAGTGCCAAACTACAAAGCACACTGAGCAATAGTGCCAAAACTGATCTTTGTGACCCAGATATGTGTATTTCCTCTAGAAGTCAAGAGACAAGCCCCAGAACCACTCCAACCCCTGGGCAACAACTTCCCAGCAGCTTCAGCTGCTCTGCTTTGGGACTGCCAGGCTCACAGCAGCACTGTGCTCTGCTGAGAAAAACAGATCAGCCCCTCAGCTCTCCCAGCACACAGCCCCACACCCAGCCATGGTGGGGCAAGGCTGGAGGCACAAGTGTGTGCTTAAAGTGGAGGGAAGAGCAAGACTGACCTTTGAGGCAAGTGTAACCTCAGTTTCTCTCTCTGTTAAAAGCAAATAAGCACAGCTTTTGCAAGTAAGTGTATTGCCAAATATTCTTATAGCCAAATTGTCTTTCTTCATCCTTCTGCTAGGAGCTAAAATCCTTGCTCTTCCTATACTGCTGCCAAAAATTTTGATCAACATCACAGACATTCTAACCAAGCTCATGGATACAACCAAGGATTAATCTTGGCCACAAACTCTAAGTATTATCAAAATATATAATATGTATGATTATGTGAGATTAAAGCAAAAAACCACTCCTACCTCTCTTACTAAACTTGCAAATATTTCAAATGGTTCATATAGATTTTAACTATATTTGCACCGCAGTCAGTACCACAAGGACAAGTGGGATAGAAATTTCATAAAATCCTACAACTGAGCAATTGGTAGCAATTGGTCTGTAAGTTTGGATTACTCTTGAGTGTTTAAAAAGAAGGGAAGGGATAAAAATGAGACAATGGTGTATTTATAAAGACAGGTAGACATATGCATCACTGTGACATATCTATAGTAGAATGGAAGAGACAAAGAAATGTTAGGATCATCTTAGGTGGATGGTCTTAGACATTGATCTTGTATAATAATAAAATCATAGAATCCTGGAATAGTTTGGGTTGGAAAGGACTATCTCATTTCAACCCCCTGCCATGGGCAGGGTGTCTCAAAGCCCTGTGCAACCTGGCCTTGAACACTTGCAAGGATGGAGCTGCCTCAGGTTCTCTGGGCAACCCATGGAGTGTCTCACATCCTCCGTGTAAGCAATTTCCATTAAGTATCTGATCTAAACCTGCCCTCTCTCAGTTTGAGTCCATTCCCCTTTGTCCTGTCACTACATGCCCCTCTCCACCTTTCTTGTAGAAACATGTCCTAATGATGAACATAATGAAACATATGATCCTAATGTCTGTAAATAGTGTGTGATTTGTATCTCTTCTGGAATACCTTTAAGCAAACCGCTTAAAGGGTTTTGAGAGCCCGACAGCAGCCCGGGGTCACAGCACACCAAGCCGACACACTCCACAGTTTCCAAGCCTCATTCCAAGCATCTTCTCCACCTTGGGCCTGTCCCGATGCGCTCCGGGACACGGCTCTGAGAGCTCCGTCCCGCCCGGCACAGGCCGCCGCACTCCCACCTTCCCCCAGCCGGGGGCGCGAGCCCCCTCACGATTCGCGCCGTCCGGCCCGCGCCGCCGCGCGTGCTCTGCCGCGCCTGCTGATTGGCGCTCCGTCAGGCGCGCGCTCGGCCGCGCCTGCTGATTGGTGGTGTTGTGCGCGGGCCCGCCTGCGCGCATGCGCTCTGGTGCGGCTGGTTCCGGTGTCTGTTGTGTGTCGGAAGCGAGGCTGTCGCCGCTGCCGGGTGAGCGCGCCTGGTGCCTGCCGGGGCCATGTCGGGGCGGCCGCCGCGGCAGGAGGATGGGGACGGCGCGGCGCTGCGCCACAAGGAGGAGCTGAGCCGAAGGGTGAGCGGAGGCGGCCCTGCGGGTCCTGTCGCCTGGGGTGCGAGCAGCGTGAGGTAGAGGAGGGCGGGGGCTGTCAGGGACCGGGGCTCCTGTGCTCGGGGCTGCGCCCTCGGGCCCCGAGAGCGGCCTGCATTTAGCGAGCCCGTGTTGCCTCGCTGATAGCTCGCTTGCCAGATCGGTATTTTGGGTCTTACTGCTTGAAATGCCAAGTGAGACGCAGTGAGGTTTTTCTCACAGAAAATCGTGAGTTTCAAGAGACGTGCAATGGTCGAGTCTAACTCCTGCGCTGCACAGGACACCCCAAGAATCACCATGTGCCTGAGCACGTTATCCAAAAGCTATTTGAATTTAGGCTGGTGCTGTCACCACTTTCACTGGGAGGGAGTTCAGTGCCCAGCCACCCTCTGGGTGAAGAACCTTTTCCTGGTATCCAATCTGAGCATCCCCTGACCCAGCTCCAAGCCGTTCCCTGTGGTACTGTCGCTGGTCACCAGGGAGAAGAGATCAGTGTCTGCCCCTCCACTTGCCCTCCTAAGGAACTTGAAGACTGCTATGAGGTCTCCCCTCCAAGTACCCTCACCTGCTTCTCACATGGCTTCCTTCTAGCCTAGTTCAGCTTTGTCTGCCCAAAATGTCCCAAGGGATTTCAGCCACAGAGGCTGGTGCTCCTTATTTATCCACTCTCTCTTCCCTGGTGGCCCACAGCTCTGTTCAGTATGCAATCTGTCAAGCCTGTGGAACTTTCACTCCAAAAAACCTCCTATCAACCTGCCAGTGTTCCAATAGGGCCTACAGGGAAGCCAGAGAAGGGCTCTTTGTCAGGAGCTGTAGTGACAAGGAAGACAAGGAGCAATGTATACAAATTGAAAAAGGGCAAATTTGGGTTAGTTTTTGGCTTTTGCAACAGTCCTTCTGATTACTCTTCAGCTTTCACAGCTGTCATTGTAAAAGAAGATGGGAATATCTGCCACATCTGTCAGTGCAGAGCAGAGTGGTAAATTCCACTAAGGAAGTTAATGTAAAAATCCAGAGCAATAGAAAGGCTCCCATTGCTAATACAGTTTTCTAGAGTATTAGAGTATTTGGATTTTCATTAATTTCATTTTGAATCTGGAGCATACACTATACAATATATAGCGTATTCTTGATATTATGCTATTTTTAAAAAGTTATTTGATGTTGTATTAGTTTTCTTCTAAGGGGGAAAAATGTGCTCTCTGATTCTAAATAGTTATAGGTACTCTGGCTTCCCAGAGGCTTTTGAAGGTAGGAGAAATACCAATGCATGCAGAATAGCCTGTTTCTAGAGAAATTAAGTATGTAATTTTTATACTTAGTTTGCCTTCAGTGATTCAGCTAGACATGCATGTTGGTGTCTTAAAATATCAGTAGACATGCTCACCACTAGGATTATACTATGATGTCTTGTTTTTATCATTAAATTGAAATGCATCTTTTGCCTTTCAGATTAAAGAGCAGAAGGTTGTAGTCGATGAGCTTTCTAATTTGAAGAAGAACCGGGTAAGGGTTTTACAAATTTGCTTTTAACTATTTCATTTTAGCAGAAAAATAAATGTAATTTGTTGTAATCCAGATTTTAATAAACATGTGGTCTGCTGTGCTCATAATAATTTGTCCTGCAAATTATTTGATTGTGTATACTTGGGCAGTGCTGGGGTTTTATATTTTATTTGAGTTATTTCATTAAGATGTTTGAGTTGATCACAAAGATTCATGAGGTATTCTTACTTTTTCTGTGCATTTGTTTAAAATAGAACGTGATCCCTTGTGGATGAGGAAAAGAGAAATTCAGAATTGTCTTAGGTTGAGCATTAAATGCTTTTGATAGTACAGCATTAGGAAGCTGGTGTTCACAGGGCAGAATTTACCCCTTCACTTTTATATCAGGAGTGTCTCTTTGGACCCACACCAGCTTCTGTTGCAGTGTGGGTCCAGCATCTGCTGCTTTGACTTAATACAGTGTGGGTTTTGTTTTACAGAAAGTTTATAAGCAGCAACCCAATAGCAACATATTCTTCCTTGCAGACCGGACAGAAATGCTGTCTCAGTGCAAAAGTAAGTTTGCAGTGTAAAAGTATCTCAAATAGTTAATGTTTAAAAGCTGTATTTGTAGCTATTTCAAAGGTATGTTAAAATGAGAAAATTGCAGCTGTGTGTCCAGTACAGGGTAATAGGAGAATGGATAATAGAGGTGATGATGGAACAAACATTAGAAGAGTATAAATTTAGAAGTATGTATTTAATTTTCTGGAGTGAACAATTGCTGCTTCTCTTTGCTTTGATTTGGGTTAATAGCATTGCCATTTTTATTGTCAGTTCCCTTTTCCTACTACAAATGTTGAAGTCATACTGATTATATAAGAGTTGGCCATTCTCCTATTGCACTGTGGCTTTCTTTGGAAAAAAATCATCCTTGTATAACTAAAAAGGAACATGCTACAGCAAGCTTATATAGCTTGTTTTAGTAATGATGGAACACAAGCATAGCTCTTTGCTTAATTAGTGTTTTATGTTTTTCACTTTAATTGAACAAGTGGCTGGAATTATTAATGTTGTGGATATACACTGAAACATACCTATGCATAAACTTTCCTGTTTGTGAAACTGATTATTTGTGTAATTTTCTCTTACACAGACACACTAGATGAATTAAAGAAGGCACATCAGGAGCTGGAAAATTCAGAAAAGGCTAAAATCAAGAAGTAGTTGATGTGAATTCCTCGTTGCAATGTGTGGTATTTGCTGTGTTGTTACCTTGTGCAGCCAGCGTGTGATTCATGATTTCCTCAGTGAAGACATCCTCTGCCATCTAAGACGAAGAGGACCAGACAGTAGCCAACAGTTGATAAAAACTGTGTCTGATCTCTCTTATCAATGTCTGTTTTCAGGCCACGTACTTCACTTGAGGGGACTGGTGACTCCCCAGCCTCTGGAAGATGCCAATAACAATGTTTTTCTTTGGAATGGAGAAATTTTCAGTGGAGTCCCTGTAGGAAATCTAGAGAATGACACTGAAGTAATATTTCATCATCTGGCTTCATGCAGCAGTGAAATGGACATTTTGTCACTCTTCTCATCACTTCAGGGTCCCTGGTCTTTTATCTATTATGAAGCACCCAGACACAGTTTATGGTTTGGCAGAGATTACTTTGGCCGTCGTAGTTTGCTTTGGCAATTCAGTAGTGAGGTTAACGGCGCTCTCTGTCTCACATCTGTAAGTGGTTGTTCTGAATCAGGCAACCAATGGCAAGAAGTCCCAGCATGTGGAATTTTCAAAATTGATCTCAAAGCTTGTGCAGCAACTAAATCTTTGTCTTTAACATTGTTTCCATGGAAGTACAGCTGCAGAGAGAAAGCAGTAGAAGAAACACGCATTAATGTTCTTGACCAAGTGTCAAAAGACTTACCAAACCATGTACATCTCGTGCTGAATGAATCAAAGCTGTGTCTTAGAGCACCAGTTATCCCCTTAAATAAAACCGTTTCTAAAGCTTCAGGTGCATGTCCAAGCTCTAATTTTAGCAACATTAACTGTGTGGTTTCTGTAGAAACCCTTCAAAAACTTCTTGCAGAGGAACACAAGAAAAAATTAGCCTGTCAGTTTATTGATGTTTTAAATGAAGCAGTCAAGAGACAAGTCCTGTGTCTCTTTAGAGATCCAGATCAGATAACAAGAGAAGTTCCAAACATGTCTCGTAAGAGAGCACATATTGCAGTGCTCTTTTCTGGTGGCATTGATTCTATGGTTATTGCAGCCCTGGCTGATAAACATGTGCCTGTGGAAGAGCCAATTGATCTTCTTAATGTAGCTTTCATGATGAAAGAGCAAGCTAAGCACAGGGGTACCACTAAAAGACGTACCAGCCATGAAGTACAGCTTGATTTGCTTTGTCCTCAAGAAAGCTGTCAAGATCCTGCTGCTGACTCTGGTACTCATTCATCTTGCTTTGATGTTCCTGACAGAATCACTGGTAGGGCAGGACTGAAGGAATTAAAAGCCATTAACCCTTCAAGAACCTGGAACTTTGTGGAAATTAATGTTACACTAGAGGAATTGAAAAAAATGAGAAAACAGCGTATTAATTACTTAATCTATCCACTGGATACAGTCTTGGATGACAGTATTGGCTGTGCAATTTGGTTTGCTTCCAGAGGAGAGGGCTTCATTAGTAACCAAGGAGAACTGAAACCATATAAAAGTCCTGCAAAGGTACTGTTTTGTTTTGTTTTCTGCCTAGTGTTTGACTTCTGAATGTAAAAACAGTTTTCTTGATTTAGAAATCAGCTGGGATTTTTGCTATTCATGAGGCTTCTGAAATTCAGTGTCAGAATGTACAATATTCTATAATTATAGTATTTGTGTAATTCTAGAGTTAAAAATCACATTCAGTTCTATTGTCATGTAATATGCATGGCTTTTCAGTGAACTTGGATATGCAATAATATCCAGTGGAAACAAATAACCACCATCTATTATTTTTGATTCTGATTTCTCACTTCTCTGTTCTTGATGGTGTGTGTAGGGAAGAAGGTACTGTTTAATTTCAGCTGTTGAAGGCACAGTAATGGGCCAAATGTGATAGTGGTTTTTTTCTTGATAAAACATTTAACTGTACTTACTGAGTAGTGTAAGTCATTTTTACTTTGTGTAACATAGCTGGTAAATGAACAGTACTCTGGGTGTACATTCAACATATACAACATATTCAACTACAACATATGACATCGACTTTGGCAATAATTTTTAAAGGCTGGTATTTAACAAATGCTGTTTATTATCCTAGAAACTAACAAAGACATTCTTCAAATATACTGGTGTATTTGTGATACATATGGCATTATTGTCATGGTTTTTTCCTTGCTCCACTAGCAATATTTGTGTGTACTTTAAGGTCTGATAATTTAAGTTACCAATGACTGTACTGGGAATTGTTTTAGGCTTTGTAAATGTGCAAGGCACAGCCCATTCTGATAAGTAATACTTTTAAAAGATGCGTATTAAAATTTTTCTCCTTAAAATGTAGTTAAACCTTTAAGGTCTGTTACAAATTAACTTGCATAGATACTAAGATTTCTTCTGTTTCCTCAGGTTGTGCTTACAGGAATTGGAGCAGATGAGCAGCTTGCTGGGTACTCTCGACATCGTGTTTGCTTCACCAAAGATGGCTTAGAGGGTCTTAATAAAGAACTTGAAATGGAGTTAGGGCGCATTTCTTCTCGAAATCTTGGTAGAGATGACAGGATCATTGGTGATCACGGAAAAGAAGCCAGGTATTACTGTTTTAACACAGAGCAAAACTGGTTTTGCTGGTTAGATGCAGTTTTTAACGCCCCTAACAAAACCTTAATTGAAACTTCTGTGTGTTTTATTGTCTCTAGTTCAGCTGCAGTTTTGTTAATGTGTACTGTGTTGTGCAGTTTTTGGTTTTGTTTTTTAAAAAAGTGGTCTGTAGTATATTGTGGAAGAGTTTACTTAAGGAAATTTAGCAACTTGATTTCCATCTAGAAGTTTTAAGAAGGATGTTGAAATAGGGAAATTCTAGCTGGTTTTATAATTCTAAGCTAAACAGTCTTTTGCACAACTTTGAAGTGTTCTGGTGTGGACCTTTGGGGAGTGTCTCTGGAGAAAGACAGTGTAACAGGAGCTGTGTATTCCTATCCCTGCAGTAAAGCATAGTCACTATCTACCACATTTCCTGGCTGTTAAGTCTGAAGAGTTGAAGAATCATTTTATTTGTGCCTACTTCTCCATGCTACCATCAACTTGAAAAAAATTCCTTAGGTCTTGTCCAGGAGCAGAGGCCACTCAGGTGCATGAAAGGTTTTCTCATGTGATCTTTGTGCCACTATTTTTCCAAGTCTTAGTTCCACATTTTCAGTTCAGCACGAGAACAGTTGCAGTGGTGGATGTGCAGTGCTCTTAACCATGCAGATGAGTAGGTATGAATGCCTGAAGTTCAGAATGATACCAGCATTTGTTGTATAAATCTTTTTGTTTCAAAGTTACAGTGTAGTTTCACAAGGTCTTTGCATGTGGTAAAGGGGAAAACCAAGATTATTCCTATAGAATTTTTAAAAGATCTTTACCCATGTAAATCTCTCTTTCAGGTTTCCTTTTCTTGATGAAGATGTTGTCTCATTCCTCAATTCTCTGCCCGTCTCAGAAAAAGCTGATTTGACTTTACCTCGAGGAATTGGCGAGAAACTGATTCTGCGCCTTGCAGCCAAGGAGCTGGGCCTGACAGCCTCAACTGTTCTGCCAAAAAGGGCAGTACAGTTTGGATCTCGGATTGCAAAACTAGAGAGCAACAGTGAAAAAGCATCTGACACATGCAGCAGGCTGAAGTTACTTTCAGTAGATGAATTATAGAGCTGTATCTGGAGATGTTGCATTTATTCTATACATGAAGTCAGTAAATCAAGTTTTCTTAGAATGTTCTGTCTGGGTTTTTTTTAAATACATGGGCATAATTATTAATAATCAGAGTTGTACATGTGTATGTGTACAAGGAACCCAAGGAACCCACTATGAATGCATCCTGTGCTTTTTTTTGTTTAATACTGAGATGCTGGTTTTTGTTTTAATATTGAATGCTTAGTTTGTAGTAACTGGAATTACTTTGATGATAGCAACACAGCATTTGTTTCTCTGACAGATGATTTTCAACACTTGTAATCCAAGTATTGTCCCTAAACATAACAGCATTGAAACACTTTTCATTGAGTTATTTATAGTTGCAATTATTTTATTAAGTACTTTTTAAGATGCCAACCATCGTATCTCTTTTAATTTTGGCACCTTGATGGAATCTTCTTCAACTCTTTTTGAAATATCAATTCCCAGGGGAGCTCTAGAAAACAAAATTATGTATTTGTTAAAAATTAACATTGTCATTGCCATATCACACAGATGTACAGCTTCACAGACCTGTTTTTACAATTAGCAGGAGAGTCAAATTATTTCAGTATATTCCCTGCACTTGTAAGACTGAGACCATTAAAATGGTCTGTACCTGGAAATATTTTTACAATGAGGAAATATTTGTGTTTGTAGCTATTCCAAACTCTAGAAATACAGTTGTGATTTCAAAGCCATCTTCTGGGTCTGTTGTTGTATTTAGATTCTGATTTTAGTTGATAATTCATTTTATGTCCTGCCGATGAATGCAAAACACTAGAGATTCACAGGTAACTCCTATGATAGTCTTAAATAATTCATTGTCTACAGCAAGTAAAACTTAGTTTTTTATTCACTCAAATATATACAGCAAATTATTTTTGAAGTAGAGTATTTTATAATTTTTCATCTGAAAACTGTAATACAACTTTTTTTTGTATTGAGACCATCCAGGTCTGTTTTTCTGAAAAGGAAAAAGAAATGAAAAACATCCCAACTTTAAGACCAGCTGGTACATTTGAGATATCCACATTTTGTTTGGCCTTAAGCCTAACATCTAGACAACCATGGTAGGAAAACACATAGAACTCTTACGATGTACAGTAAATTAAGTTTCTGAGCCAAAACGAACATAAATAAATATCAGCCATGATCATTTGTATTTAATACTGCCTTGGAAGGCATCTTTTAAAATTTCTATGTGCTGCAGAGAGACTCCTCAGCAGTTTGTGCCTCTTTTTCATGTGACCTGTTCCCCTTTCCAGCCCGCAGTGAGGACAGAGCCTGAGCCTCACTTACCTTGGCTCATAGCGGACGCCAGCAGTGCTGTGAAGGACCCCCAGCCCTGCACGTAACCTTTCAATGCCATTCCTGAGCAACAAAGCAATTACAGAAAAATGTACATCACAACTCTGCATACAAGCACATCATTCAGTCAGCACACAAAGCTTCTTGACTCTCATGTCAACTTTGCATGTGCTCCTGTATTGTGTGTTAAAAAAAAACAACTCTTACCATGCAATCATAACACCATTATCAGTGCAGAGTCTTGGAGGAGGACATAGTAAAGCAAAATCATTTGCATCTGCCAGATTCTGTAGGACTTTTCTGATATACTGATTACTTGCAACTCCTCCAGATACAACCTGACAGCATTTCAGAAAGAAAAAAAGGCATTAATTCAAAAGTACTTATGGGTCACACACAATTAGTATCACGTTTAGAAAAGGGTTATCAGTTGAAGTTCTAAAGACAGCAATAAATGCTGCATTTAAGATTAAAACATACCAGAAAAGAGTATGCTAAGTTTGCTTATTATGCAAAAAGACATTCCTGAAGCACATCAGTCTAATGGAAGGTGTCCTTGCCCAGGGCAGGAGGGTTAGAACTGGATGATCTTTAAGGTCCTTTCCAAGCTAAACCAGTCTGTGGTTCTACTGTAACTAGAACAGTCATCAAGTATTGGGCAGCAAGAGGGCAAGTTGTTATAGGAGGTTAGATTAGATTAGATTAGATGGTAAGAAAATCTCTCTCTAGCTTAAAGCCCAGCTAAATATTTACATGACTGTTACTTCAATATTGTTGGTATTTTAACAATATAATACATACTGAGATCTTCCTCATATGTCAAAGGTGGAAAGTACAACAAGGCATCTGCATCTTCAAATGATGTTATAGAGTCAGATATAAAAAGGAAAAAAAAGGTATACCCACCAAAGTGGCATTTTTTGATGGCAATATGCTGTTTTTGATGCAGAAGAGCATGGCTCGATACGTCCTCTGGATAAGATGAACAGCCACTGCGTGCTGTACGGCAGCAGCAACATCCTTAACACAGGACAGGATCTCACCTTCCTGAATACCTATAAAAGTGTATCATCAAAGGGGGCTCCTGAGCGTAGGTCATCAAAAGCTCAGTTTGTATCTGAGTGCCTAAAAATACCTTCTTCCTTTTCTTTCTGTACAATGGCATTATTGATAACGTTTTGAAGGCCGGAGAAAGAGAAGTCGCAGTTCCGATACTGCCGCATGGGCAGTCGGAAGGTGAGCAGTTCCTGGTCCCCAGTCTGAGCCAAGTGCTCTATGGCCTTGCCCCCAGCCATGCTGTGGCACTCTGGGTGCTTTCTCAGAGACAGCCTTCGTGCCACCTAAGGAGATGACAAACAGCAGACTTAGAATCAGTTCCTCCTGGAATGGCATCACTGTACTGCAGTCCATGGAGTAAAATGTGACACCAAAACATCCAATCCAATGGGAAATTACAAACAGGGCATGGTAAGGCTATCATGGCTGATAACACCAGCCCAGCAGAATTTTTTTTTCTTGGAGTATGTAGAAATGAAATTCTAGGAC